GTGAGCGTGTGTGTGTGTGTGTGTGCTTGGGTGGGTGTGAATGTATTTGCGTGTGTAAACGCCTGGAGATGGTGAACGCTCTGCTTTGCTCTTTCCGCTTTCCTCAGCCACGCGTCGACTTAGTGAAGGACAGCATTGCAGGAAGGTCAGCCGGGACGCCAGGTCGGCTGATATGGTGTGAGCGGAGCCCAGGTACCACAACACCCAGCGGGAACGCCCATCGCAGAAGCACACTAAGCGAAGGGAATGCCCTCGCATCTCGCCGCCGGAGCTCATTGTGTCGCCAGCAGGCTTCGGTTGGCACTTGCGAACTAATCAAAGACAGGCTCTAGCCAAGAGGCAGAACATGAGACCGTGCGCCGAGGCTCCGCTTTCTGTGCTCTACCTCGGTGCCCTGTGTCTGTGGCTGCGGCTGGCTGGCGATCGGTCGGTCTGTTTTGTTTGTGTTTCTGACTCTGCTCCTGTCCGTGGTTCTATCTCTGTCTCGGTCTGCAGCCATGCGAGCCTGCCACCGCGTAGAACAAGATTGCCCAGATCACATCCTGAGAAGTTGGCGGCATAACCCTGGGACCGAACCACATAAGGCAACGTCTTGCCAGAAAGGAGATGTCCATAGATTTCCGCACTTCGTGGTCCCCTGTCTTGTTGCCATCCGAGGTGCCCGACACGGCCGCTTGGAGTCTTCAAAGGGCTCTTTGTCCTGCATCATCGAGCCACCTGCACCAGAAGCTTCTTGTGGGGTTTCGGACCTCCGCGTTTAGATTACGACAAATTCTGGTAAATCCGTAGTGTTCCTTGTGCAAAGACTTACACGGTCACCTCTGGCAAGAGCCTCTGTCTAGAAGAACGGGTGTGACCCTAAGGTGATTTCGCATCTCGGCCTCGTCGCAGTTCCGCATTTTCATGCGTCGAAAGCTCCGAGACACGCACAGACTGCCGGCCCATGGCTGACACGACCTCGATGGCACTGGGTACAGACGGAAAACCTCTGAGAGGTCTACCCAACCTTCTTGGAGGCGACCGCCGCCGCCACCAACCACTGAAGCCTCAAGCCGTGATTCAACTGTGAAGAGTTTGCAAGCGCTGCATATAGAAAGCATTTCGTCCACAGCTCTTGGGCGACCTGGGAAACCTCATCAGCATCATTCCGTGATCGAGGCCACTCTTGAAAAGGAACTTCAAAGCCTCGCCCTTTTGTCCTGCAAGGAGCTTAGCAGACGGTTACATCGCTCTGCTGATCAGCAGCGCGCTTGAGCCGGCACGGCAGGCGAGATGAGTCTACAACTTTCGATTTCCGGCATCCAGACCGCCAGGTGACCCGAATGCCTGCCAGACGCACTCCCAAAAGCCCCGTCGGAATCCTTGCAATTGTTTAGGACCTGTCATTGAGGGCATGTGGAGGAGCACCCACAACCCGGACCGTGCAAAGCTCCCTGAATTTGACTCCCGAGTTGCTCGAATGGGCGACTAGGTGACTAAAATCTCTGCCGCAGTGGTCCTCCAGCATACGCCCAGGAGCTCTCTGTTTTGCTTTGCTCTGCGCTTTTTGCGCTTGCCGTGGGCGCCTGGGACTAGGCGTTCAGACTCGAGGCTCTCGGACGGGACGATGTGAATGCGGTCGTCGGAGATCGTGGGCGTGGAACCTCCAACAGACAAGGACTGGGAAAGGCAAACAAACGAGAGAAGGACCTCATGCAAGGACAAGCAAAATAAGGTGGATAAACACTAGTAGAATTGAAGAGAAGATCACCGAGACCAAGACCAAGATCAGTATCCAGGTCAGGACCAAGATCAGGACCAGGATGAAGATAAAGATAAAGAAAAGACAAGACAACCTCCGGATAAACAGGAAAAGATAGAGACAAAGAACTAGAAGACAACAAGATACAAGCAGAGTAAGATACAGATAAGATGAGACAAGACCAAAACAAGGCAAGGTAAACAGTAAATTCAAACACAACAAGACGGTATAAACAAAAAGGAAGGAAGGACAACGAACGTCGGGCAACTACCTTGTGCAGATAGAATCTCGCGTTCTGCCACGCTAAACGTCGCACCAGAACTCACTGTCTTCCGTGCACTGTGCTCAGTGTATTCAAGAATCTTGCCGAAAAGGAAACCAAATCCGAAAGCACGGAGGACCGATTCCGAAAACATCCGATTCCGAAAACACTGTAGACAGACCCGGCAAATATGAGCGAGGATTCGCAAAACATCGGGATAGACCCAGGAAAACAAGCGACAACTCAAACACGAGCCCACCAAGCAGAAAGGAGCTCTTCTTCTACTGCTACCTCCACGACTGCTACTGTTACTGCTACTACTACTACTACTACTACTACTACTACTACTGCTCCTCCTGCTGCTGCTGCTAGTGCTACTACGGCTATTACTTTTGCACTTTTTGCACTTTGCATCGCAGCGAACAGATCCGTAGCTATGCGTCCGCACAACCAGAACATTCCAGAACCTTTCAGTGCCGGCTGTTCACACCAGGCTGGTGTACAACTACTACACTACTACCACTACCACTACCACT